TCATTACAGGGCTGCTAACGTCTAAAGGCTTCAATGTTATATTGGTGGTAGTGGACCGTTTGACCAAGTTTGCTCACTTTGGGGCCTTAGCCAATCCTTACACAGCTGCCAAGGTAGCTTCGTTATTTTGTGATATGGTGGTCAAGCTACATGGGTTTCCTAGGACCATCGTTTCTGACAGGGATCCAATTTTTTTGAGTCATTTCTGGACACAACTCTTCAAATGTAGTGGTACCCTTTTGAGGACTAGCACAGCTTACCATCCCCAGTCAAATGGGCAATCGGAGGTCACCAATCGATACTTGGAGCAATATTTGAGAGCTTTTTGCCATGAGGAGAATCATAAGTGGGCTTTTTATTTGGGATGGGCAGCATATCATTACAACACAGCTGCACATTCTTCTATTGGGATGACTCTCTTCCAAGCCTTGTATGGTAAGGTTCCCACAATGATTCCATCTTATAACAAGGGCTCTGTTCGTGTAGAGGTTGTGGATTCCACCTTGAGCCATCGAGATGAATTACTAAGGCTTCTCAAAGAGACATTACATAGTGCTCAGAACCGGATGAAAATACAAACTGACAAGCATAGAAAGGATGTATCCTTTTCTGTTGGAGATTTAGTGTTAATTAAATTGCAACCATATCGCCAAATTACTTTAGCTAACCGGAAGTGTCAAAAGCTAGCCAAAAGGTATTTCGGCCCCTTTCCCATTACTAGAATCTCGAGTCCTGTTGCTTATCAAGTGGAGCTGCCTGAGGGCTGTCGAATTCACCCTTCTTTCCATGTCTCCGTACTCAAGCTATTTAGAGGTGATAGCGCTACTGTTGCTCTACCCCTGCCAGAGAGTAATCATGGCAATCATCCTGTTCAAGTTCCTATGACAGCTTTGATGTCTAGACAGGGTTCGGATATACATGGGGGTCAAAGGCAATGGTTGATTCAATGGACAAACTCTCTCCCTAAGGATGCAACTTGGGAGGATGAGTGTGATATCAACTCGTTTTATCCTGGATTTGTGTTGCCTGTTATGAACCTTGAGGACAAGGTTCCATTTGAAGATGAGGGCAATGTTAGGAATAAGGAGCCCAAGGCAAGGAGAAGAGCTGGTGCCCCTTCGTGGGCCAAGGATTATGTGGCGTAATCGGCCCACTCAGCCCAAATTAGCATTACTGTTTCACTGTTATGGTTCTGTCATGTGTTTGCTTACTGTTGTTATTAGTGGATTGCTGTTGTAATGGATTGCTGTTGTGTTTGGTTGGGCCTTAGTATTAGCTGAGTAGTGTGATAAGTGTTGTTAGTAGGTGAGTCATGGAGCACGTGTGATGCTCCTTCTTCCTTTTAGAATCTGTTAGGAAACGTGGTTTATAGCCTGATAGCATGTAATTGTTGGTTATCTTGAATATACAGAACAGTTCCCTTTCGTTTCTCTGAATTTTCTCCTCCTTTATCTTGTTCCATTTCTGATTTGCCATTGTAGGATCCGCTATCCTATCACAATTTCTATTAAATGCATCCCAGTGAAAACTCTCTCCAATAACGCTATCGGATTTTTGTTCAAAAATAATATAGTATCGTAACTGTTGAGTTTAATATTCGGAACCATATCATACCTTAACTTGAATCATGTTAGCTTAAAAATTGATAAATTGATAAATAATATAATAATTAAGTAAATAATAAATTAATTAATTTACTTTTAAAGTAGAAAAATATTTGTTATTATTTAAAAATTGATAAATATATATATTTTTAAAAAAAAAAACAAAAACAAAAACAAAATAGAGTGCGTGTATTATTGAGTACCGACTGATTGTCCGTTAATGTGAAGTTGTGAGATGGTAATATCGGTCCATTACACTTAAGCATATCCGTTGGAATGACGAGGTAGGAAACCTCGTCAACTGAATTAATTATAAAAATTTCTTTATTCTTTTTTAGAATTTTCTTCCTTTTTATATTCAACATCTTGCAACTCAAAACGTGTTTTGAAATGAATGTTCGACAAATCATGCATCTACTCTGTAAATTATTTATTTACTTTCAATCAGGTATTCTTTGTTTGATTTTCAACGATTACAAATTTAACTAAAAAAGTTCTCACAATATAAATTGGAGCCAGCAGCATGCTAGATACGTTGGGACATTACAAGCAACAACTAAATTGTTGCTTGAACAAAAAAAGAAAATTGTTATGCTTGCAATGGATAGGTTAGAATATTATACACAGTATTTTAAGATATAAATCATCTTAACTGAAGACACAAAGATAGAAAAATAAGCAAAAACGATTCTAAAATAACAATGCTTGATGACAATTCATCCAATTGATTAGTCAAAGTTGAAAATGGTCTAAAGTGGAGCACTTTAGGCCGGAAAATTATAATTCAACATATATTAAGACTGTATGATGATACAATTTTAAAAATCTAATCATTGTTTTGTTGATGAAAATTTTAATTATGTTGATTTAGCTGACAACTTGAATCTCGAACCAATGTTCTAGCTATGACTGTTGTTAGGTATTTTTAGAATTACCTAGCCTGGAACTTTCATAAGTGAAATTTTTTCCATAACCTCCCACTCGGCCACACTCCAACCTATATATTGTGTGTATGTTAGGTTTCAACCTATCAGAGAAAGAAAAATGAAGAATGAACAAAGGACTTTATTATTCAGATGATCTCTTTCTAAGAAGCACCCTACTTTATACACAGTTACTACAAACTACATAAAAATTCTAACGACTCCCTTATTTCACGCACAGTTACAACTAACTTCACTATTCACATTTAGCACGTGCCTAAACTCAAGCTACGAACTCCTTCAGTCTCACGCAGTGCTGCTTATCTCGCTTTGAAGCTCTTCGCATAACAATCCCCCCATATTCAGAAATGGCCTTATCCCCAAGGTCCATGGCTGGGTAAAAGAGACGCAGATGTTCCTCTGATTCCCAAATAGTGTCCTCTGAAACTGCATGTGTCCACTGAACCAAATATTGGCGCTGAGGAGCACCCTTCACCGAAACCACACCAGCCGACAACACTGCTAAAGGAACTTGCACATGTCTATTAGGTGGTGTTTGGTAGGTGGCTTTTGAGGGGAAAGATGAGTAAGTCAAAGTGGGGAAATGACAATGACGTGTTTGATACAGGTTTTTGAGAAATATAGCAGGGCATGACGTTTTCCCATCAAAAGCAAATTTCAGTGAAAAATGGAAAACTCTGCACTGTTGGAGAAGACCTTCTTGGAGGTGGTATGATGAGAAAGCCAGGGAAGTCATAAATTTGGCGCCAACTTAGTTACACAAATGCCCCTTTGAAATCACCTCTCTCCTCTAATACCCGTTCGCTTGCAAGAACGATTCAGAATGAAGAAAACATTGCTGCGTTTTGCTCTTCTCTCCTAAACAGCTCCATGGGTCATGCATGTGGTTGTAGACAAAGCTACAGTGATTTTCTATTTCTTTGTGTTCGTGATTACTCCATGGTAGCATCCTTGAACTGATTGACGAGTGTAGCTGAAGCAAAGACGAGTCATCTGCCACAGGTTTTGGTCCTCATCTGTACCTCACAGTTCCGGTAAGTCATTTGCGTTACTTTCTCCTGTATGTCGGTGAAGTTGATGTTGTTGATTTGCTCATGGTCGTTTCTGGTAGCCTTGACATATTTGCAGAAAAATATTTTGTTGAGCTGGGATCTAATTGACATGTTTTACTTGGGGACTTAAAATATTTCGTTCTATTTTTATTATTTACATGAATTTTTCAGATCTGGGATCTGGTTGTTCTTGTGAGTTTTAACTAGCTATCTCGATGTATAACGATATTAGAACTGGGATCTAATACCTTAACATGAATTATTGAGCTCAATGTTTCATTTTTAGTTTAGTTTTTTTTTCTTTTTTGGAAATATTCAGTTTTTGTTTTGGTTTTTAAGTATTTAACAATTCCAGATGAATAAATAACGCTATTCATCACGAATCAGTTATTAACGAAATTTATGAATGAAAGAATGCACGCGTGGCATTATTTGATTTATTATACTTCATTTCGGATTTGCAAGCAATCTTGAATGGAAAGTTCAATGAGTATACAGGAACTTGGTTTTAGTTTTGAGCTCTTGGCATTTTGGTTCTTGGATGGATTGCGACCTCAAAAAATTGAGTAGCACTGCATCACAGATTCGACATATTACGAGTCATATAAGCTCTTTATTTTATTTTTTTCTTTGAACATGTCCGGGGCACACCGGACATGTTTTCCTTGGGGACTTAAAATGGTGGTTAACAACATACACCTTACACTTTAGGGCTGCATGCTTTCATAGCCAGATTTTTATTTATATTGTGTTCTTAATTTCAGTTTATTTGTACTTTTTCTCTTAAATTTGTTTTGCCATTGACGCATTCAGCCATTTTTTATGCAGTACATGATATATATTTTGGTTACTCAGATTTCAACCATTTCTTGCTTTGAGCCTCATCTTGTCTAAAAGAAGAAAATTCAGTGGTTTGGTAAGCAACTGGTTTGAGTATGTAGACAATTTAATATTTTATATAATTTCATCTCACTCTGTTCTTCCTTGTAGTTAAGTTTATTGTTTTATTGAAAAATAGTAGAATAATCATGCTGAAATTTTTGTTCTACACTTACACATTGGATTATTAGTAGGTTCCTTTTAGAGCGCCAACTTGGTGAAGTTGTAAACATTGGTGCCTTATTGTCAGTGGTTTGATTTGTTAAAACAATCTCAATGTTCATGGGGGAAAGGTTGCGTTACTTGGTTACGTATGTCCATTCCCACATGTCACATTGATGGGAACTGTTATTGTGTTATTTTTAATCCTGAAAGTCATGTTCATTAACTCATTTGGGCTGTACAGATAGTTTCCTTATTTCTGCATTTCATCAAAGGCATGGAGAAATTTGGTTTTGATATATGTTGTTTTTTTTGTTTAAGCTGAATTGTTTTGTCCTTCTTTGTGTTAGATCGTTGCAATGAACAATGGAATGGAGGTTAGTGTCATTGTTGTCCTCATCACTCATTTGCAGTGTATGAATCAAATGACAATGTTGTTAATGAGTTTGTGTGCTTTGTTATTACGCGATATTCTAAAAAAGAAAAGTAAAAGGAGGACAGTAACATGGCAGTTTTGTAGCAGGGTTAGGGTAAGGGAAGTAAATTTGCATAGAATAATTTACTTAAGTGACACTGCTTGTATAGAGAATACAAGGATGGACAAAGGTGCTTCTTTAAGTTGTGTGAGTTAGTCAAAACTGTTGGGGGGCTTGAACCGACGAAGCATATGGGTGTAGAAGAGATGCTTGCAATATTTCTTCATATTTTGGCACACGATGTGAAGAATAGGATAATTAAAAGACAATTCATGCGGTCCGGTGAAACAATTAGCAGGCAGTTCACGAATGTGTTGTTGGCTGTCGTTCGCTGTCATATAGTTTTACTGAAGAAACCTGAGCCAGTCCTTGAGAACTCAACTGATGACAAGTAGAGGTGGTTCAAGGTAAATTTTTACTATTTTGGACTGTTACAATATGTTGTTGTCGAATTTAAGTTCTATGCAACGTTTACCTGGTACAAAAATTATTTTGTCTAAATTTTTAGAATTGTTTGGGAGCTCTGGGTGGGACACACATCAAGGTAAATCCTTTACAAGCTGATAAGGCTAGATATCGCACTCGGAAGGGAGACATAGCAACCAATGTGCTAGGGGTTTGTTCACAAGATGCTCAGTTTATTTATGTATTGCCTGGATGGGAAGGATCAGCTGCAGATTCGAGGGTTCTCAGAGATGCCATAGCTCGTAATAATGGTTTAAGGGTTCCAAAAGGTACCTCAAACTTTTTGCTTTAACTTCCCTATTTCGTAAACTGTTCACTTGCTTAATATATGCAATTTTAATCTAATGTTTGGCATCTATATTTTTTCAGGTTATTATTATTTGTGTGATGCTGGTTACATGAATGGGGAAGGTTTCCTTACACCTTATAGAGGGCAAAGATATCATCTCAGTGAGTGGAGACACGGGGCACAACCAACAACAGCGAAGGAGTTTTTTAACATGAAACATTCTTCTGCAAGGAATGTCATAGAACGCTGTTTTGGGATGTTGAAGGGGCGTTGGGCGATTGTTAGGTCGAAGTCATTCTATCCGGTTAAAACACAAATCAGGATTATAACTGCATGTTGCTTGCTACATAACCATATCAGAAGAGAAATGGCCTTTGACCCATTAGAGGAGAGTGAGGTGGATCTTCAACCGGTTCAAGACGAGATGGGAGCAAATGATATGATCACTCACGTGGAGTCATCCAGTGCATGGTCACAAATGAGGGACGATATGGCGCAACAGATGTTTAACAACTTCAGGAGACGTGTTTGATTTGGACTATGTAACAATTGATAGTCCAAAAGTTATGTTTGTTTACATAATGCCTTAGATTTGACTACGAACCTCGATCAGTAAACTAATGTCTTGTAATAGTGTTCAATGTTGGCTTATGAATCATTATAATAATTGTCATAACAGTTTCCTCTTCATGTGTATTGCACATATCATGGTTTAGGGTTATTCATGTTCGATTTGCTTTAACTTGGGTTGATATAACATTGTTTTCATATATTATTTGGTTGTTTAAACTGTTCTCATATTACACTTTTTTTAGTTCCTCGTTGAACATCATGACAGAAGAGAGCCAACAGTCAACCAAACGAAGTAATCATACGTGGACTGCCGAGGAGGATAAAGTCCTTGTGGAATGTCTCATTGACATAGGGTCGATTTGGAAGGGGGAGAATGGTTCTAAACCTGGATTTTCGGGTGCTATAGAGAAGCTCATGCATCAAAGGATACCTTTTTGTACCCTCAGAGGTATCCCTCATATCACATCCCGGGTTAAATTGTTAAAAAAACATTACAATGCTCTCACTGAAATGATCGGCCCTAACGGTGGGAGTGGGTTTGGATGGAATGATACAAAAAAAAATGATAGAGGTGGAGAGGGAGATATTCGATGACTAGGTGAAGGTAAGCTGGTTTTCTAATTTACATGTACTTGTATATCCAGCTACAATAAATCTTAATTGCATTGGCAGTAACCTTTTGTCAATTATCTTGCTGCAGAGCCACCCTACTGCTAAGGGTCTGTACAATAAACCATTCCCACACTACGACAGCTTAGGAACAGTCTTCGGAAAAGATGTTGCATCTGGTCTCAATGCAGAGGAGCCAGCAGATACGATTAACCAAATGCAGCAAAAGAGTGCTATGAATGCAGAGAGTGGGATTGGGTTTGACGATTACCTTGACCTGACTGGAGACTACATCCCCACACCTTGTGTTGATACTACGTACACTGCCCGATCTCCTACAAGAGGAGGTCATGCCACCATCTCCTGTATCAACTGCTACTACAACGAGGGGTAAGAAACGTCAGAGAAGTGAAGATCCATTGCTTGTGGAAGTTGTAGATGTTATGAAGGATCTCAGTCATCATTACAGGAAGTCAAATGATAGTATTGATAAGTTGGTAGGTTGCTTTCAACATCAAGCTGAGGGTAGCCATAGGCGAATGTCAATAATGACAGAACTGGAGAAATTTGAAGAATTGACAGAGGAACAACAGGTTCGTGGTGCTGTGCAATTGGGCAGGGATAGCAATCTCACAGATGTATTCATGCAATGCAATGCAGTCACACTAAGCGAGCTGTTTTGGTGGCTGGATTGTTGGCCCCACATCAGTGACTGATGAATGGTCACTCTTTTTGGTTCTGCTATGGAGAGATAGCCATATTTTTTGTATCTCATTTTAGGCGTCCTTGATGGTTACCTTTTTGCCCATTGTTACCACAATGCTATTAGTATTAGAATGCTTAGTTGGCTGCCAATGAAAAAGTTTGCAGAATGCTTCAAAAGTTTGGTTGTTTGCCTTTTTGTGATCACCAATATATTCAGTATTCACAGTAGAATATTTCCTGAATGTGAGGGTAAGTTGTGCTTTCAAACAACTATCAGTTTCGTGGTTAATTGGTAAAATTGATTTCTTTGATTTTTAAATCATTATGTATTTCTGCAGGATGAATGTCAGCTGCCACTGTCAAAGAGTTACAAATATAAGTGCTATGTTCGCATATATGAAAACTTCTTGGAGTGTGAACCTGTTTTGTTTATGACTGTGTTCATGGGTTTTTGTTCATTGAATTGCTGTCTGTGATTTACAGCACAAAGGATACTAGGTCACATCTTAATTTTTTGGCCTTATATAAAGAATAGCTGATAAATGGTATTTAAAGTGTTAGTTTATATCATTACTATTGACTATTTCACACTGTATTTTAGTGCAGGTTATCCCAAAGGAGATGAAAGGAATTCTGGCTGATGCCCTTGATGTTGAGAGTCATGCTGTGCAATAGGACAGCCTCTTGTTGGTTTATCATCAAACTTTTGATTGCTGCACAACAAATCTATGCATGTGTTTATATTCCAATGGATGCGATTCAAGGAGCCTGCCAAGCTAGATGGAGAGAAAGTCAAATTTGTAAACCATGACACAAAGTCAAATTGTAACCCAAACTGCATGTGCTCATATACTTCATGTATGATACAACTGTTATGGAATGATTTCTGTCCTACTGTACTTTAAGTGTTCGTAATTCTGTTATTGTGTAAAGTTGTTGCTATTTAATGAATACAAGTATTGACTATCATTGAGGTGATTCAGTAATTTTGTTCTATATCTGTGTCATCATTGAATTGCAGCACAAAAATAAATAAAATGAAGGTATTGCATAACTCTCATGTCATTGAAGGAGCTACATATTGTCATTGGCATGCCTATGTAGGGCTGTCAAAAATTTTGTAATTACAAACAACATCAAATTGACAACATGAAACTCCTATTTACAAACTGATAGTCTATGTTCCATTTATACAATAAATACAAGTTACATGTACTTGTCCACTTTCTGCATGGACCATGGCTAAGGCACCTAGGGACTTGCACTTTTTAAATCCTTCCACAATAAGCTGAGCATTGATCATAACAGCTCCTTTGTATGCCATCCATTCAATCTGAAGATAGTGGATTATCTGGTTGTTATTTAATGATCAAGCACATTAGTAATCTCATCTGTAGCTGCTTCATGACTCATAGCCGGTTTAAATGAGATCTTGCAACGTCCCTCAGCAAGCTTATCCCCTATTGCACCAAATACATTCCTCCCATGATAATCATCACCATAGACTGCAATAACATCTCTCCACCCATAATAGTTAACAAGGAGCTGGTATGCAATATGAGATATGACATGAGCTGTTGTAGATGTATGAGGGCCGATTATGGCCACAGTTTGTGTAGCCATGAGCTGCAAGGTTGTTACATGAAATTTATTTTAAACAAAAAAATTCAAAGAAAATACTTATAACCTGCTCAATAATACGGCCATAATGCACTGCTGACTCTTTCAAGAGCAAAAAATCATCAAACCCAACATCCCCAGTATTTCAACCAAATGGTCTCTTGTTCACATAGGTAATATCTGGTATAGAGGAAGAATAAATAAGTAAAATTTGCTTTAGAAAAAATATTAGAAAAAACAAATTAAGAATGTCTACTTGAACTTCAAAACAACAACGCACTTGTCTTAAAGATGTTGCCTGAATGTCTACTTGATCAATGAGCACTAGATAAGCTGACATATGTTGCTGAACAAGGACTAGTTTGTTGCTCTGTCATGTTCCCTCGTACTGCCAAAAGAACTTTCAGTTTCACAGCCAATGCCAATATGCTAAATAATCATAAACTGGTTCTGCCTGCATTCAACTAAATCTAAACTTTCATGAAAGTCTAATGATAACTGTGTCGATCATGTACAGAGAATGGAAGTTGTGATGTAGATGAAAAGTAGAAACAATTAAATGTGAATCTTGTCAAGGTTCAGCAACATATTAACACTAACTCAAGAGAACTCAAAAAAATCTAAGATTCTAAGCTGAAAAAAGATTGATAGAGATGAGGAAATGAGTGAACCATCACAGACAGAGGATGAATACCCTAAAATCCAACAATCATAATGAGAACAAACAACAAAGACACTAATAATCGCAAAGGCTGATTACCAAAAAAAAATAAAAAATCGCGAAGGCAGCGCATGATAGAAGTCAGAAGAGTTAAGAGTGCATCCAGCTATTACTTGTTTGTGATACAATTATAGCTATTGGAAATCCTGTCTTGACATACACAGAGTTTGACAACAAAATGCTATGTAAAAATCCACTTTTAAAACTACTGAGAAGAATAAAAGTAGCATAACATAATTTACATTCAGAAACCCATTAATTGCCACTAGCCACTATAAATAATTTCATCTTTCTTTGTACAGCATTGATTAGTGAGCATATAGAAGTAAGTTTAATCGCAGAAATACCTTGAGTAGATCTAAAACTTTCTCTGCAACATATTTCTGCTGAAGAGTAGCACCTTTCTGCTGCACTTTATCACGATGAATACACAATGTAGCTTTCTTATAGGCTTTTTTAACAGCAGCCGCTGTAATCAAATCAGTCAAAGAAAGAGGCTGCCAGCCACATTCAGGCCACAACACCTGATCATATCATTCATTAAGGAAACAAGTTAATATATAATTGACACAAATTCTGTAACAAATACCAACACCTTAAAAACACCATAAATTAAGCTGCTTCCAAATTCAAATGCATGAACTCTTCAGAGTGCATAAAAACTATGAATTCTCATCAACATCAACATCAACAACACCTTTATCCCAAATTAATTGGGGTCGGTGGGTGAGTAAAACCCACATAAAGATACAAAACGGTTGAAAAAAAGTAAAAAAATAAAATAAATAAATAAATAAAAATACACAAATAAAATAATAAAATAAAATAAAATGAAATAAAAATATATGTATATAGTATACAAATAAACTCACCTTAAAAACACCATAAATTAAGCTGCTTCCAAATTCAAATGCATGAACTCTTCAGAGTGCATAAAAACTATGGAAACAAGTTGCTTTGAATCTTCTCTCCTCTGGATGGACTGTAATTGAAATATGAGCACATCATAACAATCTTTCAAAATCAAATTTGTTTCCTAAGGATGTGTCTTCTACTAGCTAACATCTCATCAGAAATTGCTACTATGGATTGTATCTATTACAAGAAATAGATATAGTGGTTGTACCTTTTAATGAGCAGAGCAACTAAAACCTATAAAATCAGCACATGTATTCACTTCTAGCCCCAAGGTGGTAGCTTGATCATCAGACCAGATACAAGAGAAAATATGAGAAAAACACATTTCCTCCATGCTATATATCAGATTTTGGACCCAAGAATTTCAAAAGAAGAATTAAAGAGATAATTTATGCCCCACATACTTACGGGGCATGATATGGATCTGGAATATAAAACATTAAGACATAGAATTTAAAGTGCGTACACTAAGTGCTTACATATTGTAAGGTAGAGAGCAAAGCTCGTAAGTTCCCCTCTTTCCCTGCAGCCCACCGCTTAATTTCAGAATCCAGTGTTTCGGCAAGCCTCTGAAAACAATGCACAGATAATATTAGATAACAAAAACAATATGAGATTACAATAAATTCTGCAAATTTTAATTAGTGGCTTTTGCAAAACAATTTTTGGCTATGCAGTGATGTAAGTATACGAACAGAAAACCCCTCAGGTGCGAATAAAAAGAAAAACAGCAAAAGAAACTACTTACATGTCTCTCAGCTTGATCTCTTTGAGTTTGTAAGTCCCGCTGATTCTTCTCAGCCAATGCTTTTGCCTAGTATAAAATGTTAATGGTCATAACATAGACAAATAAGCCAAAAACGATTTTGTATGCATGGACACACTTCACGCCTCCACATAGATCCTGTTGAAAATAATCAAGTATGAGTTGTAAAGAAGTACCACATAGACCAAGTGATGACCATATAAGTGTGAAAGACCCATAAACCTGCAGCCTTAAGGTTTTGGGTTAAGATGTGGTGTCGGCCCACTTATTATGGTTTGTCATTTGGCCCATTGGTGGATGTATCCTTTGCAAAGGGTTTTGGGCTCCCTCATTCCATTTCCCAACAGTGGTATCAGAGCCAATGATCTGGGCTGGGCCAAGTGTGTTTGGAAGGCCTCTGCAGAAGGCTAGTGTGACCCTAATATTTGAAGAGAAAAAAAGACTTCCGCAGAAGTTGACCTTAGAGTAAGAATGATATTGGGTCTCACACTTGAGGGATCACACTTGAGGGAGGATGTTGAAAATAATCAAGTATGAGTTGTAAAGAAGTACCACATAGACCAAGTGATGACCATATAAGTGTGAAAGACCCATAAACCTGCAGCCTTAAGGTTTTGGGTTAAGATGTGGTGTCGGCCCACTTATTATGGTTTGTCATTTGGCCCATTGGTGGATGTATCCTTTGCAAAGGGTTTTGGGCTCCCTCGTTCCATTTCCCAACAGATCCAATGTCAAGTTGGTTCAAAAACAGTGCATTCTTCACCTATTCTTTGTATGAACTATTAATAAACAATGAAGAAATCAAAATAAGGAGACAAATACAGTAATGCAATAACACAACGAAAAATAAGTTCACTCTTTTCATGAAAGGATAAAAAAAATTACTCACTTTTGATGGCAGCTTGCAAGTCGTGCTTGATGTCAAACCTTGTATGTCGGTGTAGATTGCAAGTTCAGACCTTGACCTGATCGTGCCGGAGTGATGGAGGTTGTCTTCCAAACGACCTGACCGTGCCGGAGTGATGGAGATTTTCTTCCAAACCACAAGAAGAACGTTGGAGAATGACGTCTTCAACGTCTCTTTGCCACCGTGTTTATTATTATATTCAGGTGTATTTTTGATATTTTGTCATATTTTTCCATCAATCTTTTACTTTCAACTAAACATAGTCACAGTAAATTTTATACAATTAATTTAAGAAACAAATTATTAAATTAATTTTATAAATTTTAAATTATTCATTGTTATTCTGTACAAAAAAAACTTTTTGACGTGGATTATATAAATATATGTCGTATTTAAGCATAATTCTTATATATAATAACATTAATTAAAGTAACTTATTTTTATTTATTTGAATTTTGGTTCTTATAAATTTTTAGGATTTTTATATTTTCATTTATTTTTATTTTAATCTCTTTGAGACTAATATCTTAATAAGTAAAATTATAGAGAATAATTATTTATGAAAATTAAAAAATTAATTTTTTAATTAATAAGTAAAATATCATGGACAAAATTATTTTTGAAAAAAAAAAGTTTGTAATTTGAATAAGAGAAATTGTAGTGGCCAAAATTTAAATTAATAAAGATATAGAAGCCGACAATTCCCAGTAAGTGAAAATATAAAAATTGATAAAATAAATAAATAAATAAATTATAGGGAAAAAAATCTAAATAGTTGAAAATTCTAAGAACAAAAATTTATTTAAACCTAATTTGGTCAACATTATTTAAACCTAATTTGGTCAACATCAATCATGCATGAACTGAATAGCTATTTTGATAATAAAAAATAAGAACAATTTGAGAACAACTTGATGTATTTCCGCCTTACCTCTCAAGTTTATGTTTTTCGGAATGTTTTCTCTATACTGTATATGGAGATATTTTAAGAAAGTGTAATTGTTCCTTTTTTTTGTTTTTGCTAGATATGTTATTTCTTTATATATGTATAGAAAAATTATAATTTCTTTCACTTAATTAAAATTATTTTTCCCTTATAAATTAAGAGTTCTACAATATTTATTAAGTATAAATTCTTAATTTTTCTCGACATCATTTTAGGAATGTGGTACTATTTTCGTAACTTTGATATCTACCACAAACTTCCACCCGTAAACCTCGTGCACTTGTTTTCGTTATTTAAAATCTCAATTTATATTACGATTTTACTTTGATATATACACTAGAGATTCATGTAATCCCAATCCTCTGTCCCCCCCCCTCTTAAAGAATTTGCTCGTTGACACTCTAATGCTTGCATCACCAGTTTAGTTAGTTAGGAGTAGGTTTTTATTATTATTATTATTATTATTATTATTGTTATTATTATTATTTATAGAAGCTAAGATTGGCTTAATTAGTTAGAGATTAGTGATTAAGTCGTTCAAGTCTTTGCTATTAATTTGTTGCTTTGTGTAACTAGCTACGAGTTTTCACTCTCTCACTTTCTCCCATTTTTCCCTCACAGTGTGTTAAGTTTGTCAATATGGTATAATACTCACCATGAAAAACTCTTTTAGTCTGCATTGAGTTCCCATGGGACTCGTAAACTATTCACTCGTTTTCCTTCTCTGCTTTTCCACAGAAAATAATTTCGATTATTATTCAAACATGTATATGATATAGACTATAGTATTGAATTTAGACATGAGAGATACATTTAATCCCAATCCTTAATCTTCTCAGTGAAAGATTTTATTCGTTGAGTACTTGACACCTCCTAGGCTTCAACATATTTCTATAACTATAACTAACAATATGATCACACCAAATCATAAAACATGAGGGGAAAAACACAGATTAATAAGAATATCAAGTGGAGTAGCCCTAATACTTTCCATTATCTTGAGCATTTAAATTTCAAGGTAAGCATGGGCAGAGAGACGCGGAGTAAGAATGACTCGGAGCGGAGAGGCTTTGTTATTGGTTAACCCAACACATTCAAGCATATCGACTGGTCCTCCATCAGGAGTCACAATGTCAAACCCATGTAGCAGAGTAGCAAGTGTTAGGTGCATCGTTTGAAGAGCGAATGAGAGACCAGGACATATTCTTCTGCCTGCACCGAATGGAATCAATTCAAAATGTTGTCCCCTGACATCAATGTCCTTGTGTGTTGTGAGGAATCTCTCTGGGCGGAACTCCAAGGGGTGCATATATAACAGGGGATCTCGTTGAATTTTTGAAATGTTAGTCAAGAGACGTGTGCCAGCAGGCACATGGTATCCACCAATGGTGCAGTCTTCCATGGACTCGTGTGGCACACTGAGTGGTCCTGGTGGATATAAGCGCAGTGTTTCCTTGAGAATGGCTGGGAGATACTCCAACTTCTGCAAGTCTGATTCCACGACCATCTTATCCTTCCCAATTTGTGTGTCTAATTCGTGTATGGCTTTGTTTAGAACTTCACGGTTGTTGAGAAGTAGGGAGAGAGCCCAAGTCAATGTCCCTGAGGTAGTGTCTGTGCCAGCTAAAATTAGTCCCTGCAAAATATAGTATTTTTTTTTTTAATTTTTGTACTCCTATACCAACCCCGTTGAGAGAAAATGAGAAAATTAACGATGGTGAAATTAAATACTGAAGAGAACAAGCTTTAAGAGTTTGGAACAGTGACCATTTTGCCACGCCTGGCCAAACAAATTACCAGACTGCCACGCCAACAATAAATTTTCCCAGAATGCCACGTGGGATAATTCGCTACACTGTGTAGCGAAATATGCTTGCAAATAATTGGCTACACAGTGTAGCGAATTATGCCACGTCAGAATGCACAGTCAACAAAAATGACACGTTTCAAGCAGGTAGTAATTCGCCACCCTGTATAGCATATTATATTCGCGAATGATTTTTTGACACGTGGCACACTTTTGCAGAAAAAAACTGACGTGTCATAATTCACTACTACTGAAAGCGAATTTGGTCTGCAATGTGACCACGTGTCACGAAATTATTGGCCATGAAATTCGCTACCAGTGGTAGCGAATTATGACACATGGCAGTCTGGTAAAAAATATTGTTCGCGTGGTATTTGGATAAAAAATTTGACAAAACGTGACATTTTGGTTATTGTTCCTGAGTGTTTTATCTTCACATTCACACAAGTGAGTTGTAATTGTTATGAAGAGTAATTATAAATTTGTTACTTTTAAGTAGCCATGAGATACAAATATTTGTGTAAGTTCCACATATTTTAAGCATATGACTTTGTATATATTAAAAAATCTAAATTCGTATATAAGCTATGTTTAGTATTTATGACTTTGCTAAAAAATTATTCTTTCAAGTTACAAAGGGGTGAACCTCACCCTAAACTTTATACAAATCACACAACTATGAAAATTAAATTTGTAAGGATGCCAAGTTAATGATAAAAATAAATCAAATTTCACCGTGGAGGTAGAAAAAAAAACACAAAATTCAAAGGAGAAACCAAATCGAGACACATAATATTGACCGCTAGAGAAATAAATTTAAAGTACAATTGATGCACCGAAAATTCAGTACATCTGTTATTTATTTTGTAATACGTGAACAAAAAGTATTACATTATCTGAAAAAAGAAAAAATTAAACGACAGTTGATCAGATGATGTGCTATTTTTTTTCACATATCACAAAATAAATGAGAGATGCAATTGCACTAAATATTTATACGATTCGACGACTAGGATTACATGTCTCTTATCCTATTTTTCTAAATGAAATTTGAAACTTCAACAAAAAGTTTCTCTTCGCTCAATTTATTTTTTCTGATATGCTATTTTTTTATTTTGTAACATGATATGTTATTTTTTAAGAGTTTTATTTTTCTTATGTTACTTAAGATAAATTTTCTCTCTGATTCTCACAACAAAGATGAGACCCACTTTATTATTTAAAAAAAAAAAATACAAAAATCGAGATATAAAATTTATCTTACGTTAAGAAAAATAAAATTCATTTTTTAATTATAGTAACAGGCAAGGAATTGACTCCTAAATATACATACCTGGCACGTAGCTTTAATAACAGTATCCGCATCACAACCGCCAAACTGTTCACCTTCGTCAACATTGGAAAGAAGCGCATCCATGAAGTCATGCTTGCGCTTCCATTCCCCTAAACCAGAATTCCTGTTACGTTTGTGTTCTTCGAGCCAAATTTGAACAAAGCTGTCTAACTCTTTTGCTGTCCTCTTCATTTCCTTCTCTTTTCCGTCCAAATCCAACCATCTCAAATACGGCAGTGCATCAGAGACAACTATTGAACCCATGAGATCGAAAAAGTCTCTTACTGCTTTCCTGATCCATTCGTTCTCTTCATGGTCACCATCACAATTCACCCCACCAAAACGTTTTCCTACCGTCAACCTAAACATAACGTTTAGGATTATGTCCCCGAACCATTTGTTCATATCAGTCACTGCATTTTCGGAACCACTCTTGTTCATCTTTAACCAATTATCGTGACTCCCTTTTATTGCTGCCTTCACCTCCGATTCGATGACGTGCTTGAGCATCTCTATCCGCTTGGTAGAGAGGAGCTCCATGGTGGCTATCTTGCGTACGTGACGCCAATAGGAACCGTAGGGGCTGAACCCAAACATGGAAAAGTTGTATCCCAACACTTCAAAGGCTACAGATTTAGGACGGCTAGCAAACGCTTTGTCGTTTACAGTAAAGCACTCTTTAGCCATTTCCCAATTGCTCACAATCAAAGTTCGGTGAACACCAAGCTGCAAGGTGAATGCCGGTCCATACTTGTCAGCCATGTTGCCCAAGGTTACATAAGGTGGTTGTGAACCACCTAAAAGGTGGAGATGCCCAATCAAAGGCAACGCACCGTTAGCTTCTGGTGGTGCTTTTCCAGCTGCAGCAGTGCGCCTTCTCGATATTGACGAAAGAACTAAGAGAAATAACAACAGCCCAAAGATGGTAAATGCCAATGGTACTGTTGATTGGGAGAGGGAATTTTGCAGGTCCATGGTGTTGGAAGATCTTGCTGTTTATGATTATGGGTCTATGCTATGGGCTTCTTGATATATTTTATAGAAACTAAAAGCAATTCGGTTGGCCACAGCACACAGACACTAAAATCCAAACGCTCAGCGATTCGGTCCCACATAGGAGGATGAAAAACGTAAGGCTACTGATGCCTTTGTGGATCATGTCAAACACGATCTTTATTTTGACGGCAAATAACAGTATTAGATATTTTACATTGCATTTCCGCCAACATATAACCAAATTATGATTTGCCTCATCCACATTTAACCGTTGAAAGTCACCGTAAGAATAACAAATCTTATAATCAATATTAACAGTTGATTTTTGAGGTAGTCTGGTTTCTAAAAACCGAACCATTTAGAGGCCTGTGGATGGCTAGGTAGATGTCTTCAATAACTTTTTGAATCACTTTAGTGACACTCTCCGACCTTTTAAAGTCACTGTCATGGATAGCCTTATTCCTCCACAACCAAATAAACCAACAAGTTGTGAAAAACCAGTCCCTCCAATCTCTATATCTACCATCAATGAATTTTAAATTCTTTTTCAGCCAAGACTCTAAGATCGGGTTTTTGACCACTATAGCTTTTTTTTAATAATTAATTATCAAATTGACCATATTTATAAACTATTTCAAAAATTTAACCTCTCCAGAAAACATAACACCAATCTGCCCATGTTTGACCGTTGACTATGAAGCCTACCCGGGTACACCCCTACCTACCCGGGTAAATTTTAAAATTTTTTACCTACCCGGGTACACCCCTCCCTACCCGGGTATATTTCTTGAATCTGGAAAATGTTTGAATTATTTACCCGGGTAGGGAGGGGTGTACCCGGGTAAATAATCATAAACTGGTTGTGTGCGCCCATCCTCTTTGTGTGAACAGCAAATGAAAATCTCTAAATTGAAGGACTAACGCATGGAGAACAAAATCTGAAAACAGGTTATTGATGAAAAATATTCAACTGGATCATATGCCTGAGATTAGTGAAGCAAATAATCAAGGTTCTGCTCCAACAAAGGATGCTATTACATGTCACCAGTCAGACAATTCAAAAAAATGTTCAGAATTAGAGGTGAAGGAATTGGGCGTTGACAAGCTTGAGTTGTGGAAAACTGTAAAAGAGACAACTGAAGATGGCAAGAGGAAGATGTTGGAGAGGGTTGTCTCAGATGCTCAGAAATTGGCCATTCTTAAAATGACTCTGCAAGGTTTGAAAAAGAAACCAGAAACAAAGAAGAAAAGCAAGAAGAGAAAAGCTTGAGTTATGATTATTTACCCGGGTACACCCCTCTCTACCCGGGTAAATAATTCAAACATTTTCCAGATTCAAGAAATATACCCGGGTAGGGAGGGGTGTACCCGGGTAGGTAAAATTTTTTAAAATTTACCCGGGTAGGTAGGGGTGTACCCGGGTAGGCTTCATGGTCAACGGTCAAACAGGGACAGATTGGTGTTATGTTTTCTGGAGAGGTTAAATTTTTGAAATAGTTTATAAATAGGGTCAATTTGGTAATTAATTATTAAAAAAAAGACTATAGTGGTCAAAAAGCCCTCTAAGTTCTTATCATTAAAGAAAAAAGGGGGCAGCAAGGGGAACAAGCAGCCGTTCCAGATGGTAGAGGCTAAAGGGCAGTTTCTAATCACATGGAGGATGTCTTCAATTTTATCCTGGAAATGGTAACAACGGTCTGTATTAAAGCCCCATCTAGCAGTGAGCTGTCTGGTAAGTAATCTGCCATGGCACACTTTCTAAACAGGTTAACCTGATAAAAACTCTTATAACGAAAAGCTCTTTTTTTTATAATAAAGAAAAAAAGTTGAAAGTTAAAAGCTTCTAGGAAGAGCTTTTTTTTTAACTTTTATCTATTTTTATTGAATTGTGTGCTTTTTAAAAAAAAATAAAAAGTAATAAAAATAAATAGAGATAATTTTCTTGAAATATGTGCTTGTAAGTAATTTTTAAGCTAAAGCTTTTATGTAATTTTCAAACAGCTTTTAGCTTCTTTTTTTAAGCTCGTTTTTTAACTTTAACTTATAAGTAGCTTCTAGCTTAAAAATAAGAGGATCCAAACAGGCTCGAAGTATCATCACTTTGATCCATCACCATTGTAGTGCTTATCTTATCACTGTTGGAAGAAAAGAAACCCTAGCAGAGGAAATAAAGTCATGCGTGACTAACCCCATTGCGTCCAACTCCTTACAACAGTCATTCCTATTTTATTCTTTTAACAAGTAAAATGTAAAATTAAACGTATTTAAAAAGTAAAATCATTTCTGCAACCGGTTTATATACAACAACGACATGTGTATGATTATGATTCTCCACATTTAATGTTTTCTTCTTTTGTATGGTTATGATTTCCTGCATTTAATGTTTTTAAGTATATATATAATAAGTATTTGATTGATGCGCGTAGAACAGCGATATAAATGTAAATCTCATTTAAAAAATATTTTTATAATGTTATTTATGATTTCAACTTTGTTTAGATTTGTATTGCGTTACAGTACGAGTAACTTCATTCTGAGTTTAATAAACAAATACATAACATATTTACATTTAAATATTAAAAAAGGGGAGAGATCATTTGACTCCAGAGTAAAACTTATAAATCTTACTCTTCATCCTAGCCGTTGATTTACGTCCATCCAACGGTTATAGTTTAAGAAATTAAATTAATTAATTAATTATTAATTACACCATAAATTACAACCGTTGATTTCCATTCATCAACGGCTGAGGTGGGGAGTAAGACTTAAAAGTCTTACTCTGGAGTCAAAAGAACCCTCCCCTAATTTCAATACGTTTAATTTTACATTTTAACGTTAAAATAATAAAATAGGAATGGTTGTTGTCAATCAAATTTTATATGACGTTTTCAAAGTAACAGATTTTTGCCATGCAATAATTAATTCATATAATAAAAATAATTATATCGTTTGATTTCATGTATACTTCACATTAAGATCACAGAGAAATTTTTTTATTTTTTTTTTGGGGCCAGATTTGTATTAGCGTGGACTAAATTTTTTTTTACACGATTCTTTCGGAAATTTTTTTAAATTCAGATGACATAAAGAAACAGAGAAAACGGGCCCGAATATGAGTTTGGAATCTTTTAATATATCTACGACTAAGTTCAGCGTTTACTTCTGCTGGGCCTGAACTTCTTGTAGCCCATAATTTAGAGATAAGAACGACCATGAAGGAAATAATGTAATAATACTACATCAACACTTCAATGGGCTTGCACTGGCAGAAAGAAACGAACACAAGTTACAAAATAAAAGCTAAACACAGCTCGAAGATCGATTTATCTTCCATAATTACATCTAGATCATGAAACCCCACAAGTTACACTCAAATTCGGAACTATTTGAATTACAAAATTACAAGTATTCAATTTTGACCCTGTATAAGAACGAACTTTTTTTTATATGACTTTTCATAAAAAAAAAAAATTAAATAAGGGACTAAAATCAAAAAAGTTATGTGTAAATGGCCTAAAAACATATTTAAGTCTTTCTTATGTGTAAGTTAAATGAGAGTCGAGTAACTTAGTTTAAATTACATTCTTATTTTTTCCTCCAAAAGTATAAGTATAATCACTTTAATTTTAAATATTTTCGTGATTAATTTAGTCTTTTAATAATGTAATTTGTAGTTTTTTAGAATATCTAAGTATCTTTTATATCTATTTAGTCTTTCAATATACACAAGGTCATCAAATTCATGCGTAAATTACGACTTTATTATACTCATTTGTCTTAGTCTAGTAAATAAAACTGATTGGATAATGTTTTGCATTATTAAAGGACTAATCGATAAGGATACCAAAAAAAAAAAAGGACTAATCGATAACAAAACTTTTAAAAAAAACTAAAAGTAATTACGCTTATATCTTTATACAGCAAAATTAGAATTTACTCCTTAGTTTATGATCCTCACATAATATCAAATAAAATATAATTTAATAAAAATAAACTGTAGACATTCACGTACATTTCCACTCATTTAGCCGAGAAGAAAAATAATGAAGCTGATGAGCTCGAATTGTACGGATACACACGTAGCGTGGAGTGGGAGCACATGGAAAAAATTTCACCCATGAAAGTTCCAGGTTAGGTAATTCGGAAAATACCTAACAACACTCATAGCTGGAACATTGGTTTGAGATTCAAGTTGTCAGCTAAATCAACATAATTAAAATTTTCATCAACAAAACATTAATTAGATTTTTAAAATTGCATCATCATACAGTCTTAATATATGTAGAATTATATTCTACCTAAAGTGCTCCACTTTACCAAATGGTGGTAGCTCAGTTAGCGTATGAGAGCTAAGCAAGTGGGGTGAGAGTATGTGTTCGAATCTTTCCAATACCACCTTTGGGCGGGGTTTAAAGTTTTAATCCTAGACCCGCCTCGAATCGGATTAGTTGCGAAACAATGAACTGATTGAAATATTTCCAAAAAAAAATAAAAAATGCTCCACTTTATACCATTTTCAACTTTGAATAATCAATTGGATGAATTGTCATCGAGCATTGTTATTTTAGAATCGCTTTTGCTTAGTTTTCTATCTTTGCGTCTTCAGTTAAGATGATTTATATCTTAAAATACTGTGTATAATATTCTAACCATCCATTGCAAGGATAACAAGCTAGTAGTTCCTTATAATTACCCAACGTATCTGGCATGCTGGCTCCAATTTATATTGTGAGAACTTTTTTATTTAAATTTTTAATTATTGAAAGTCAAACAAAGAATAATTGCTTGGGAGTAAATAAATAATTTACAAACGTGTATGCATGATTTGTCAAACATACATTACAAAACATGTTTCAAGTTGCAAGTTGTTGAATACAAAAAGGAAAAAAATTCTTAAAAAGAAGAAAGAAAATTTTTTATAATTAATTCAGTTGACCACGAGGTTTCCTACCTCGTCCCAACCAGTATATTCATTCCAACGGATAT